CACCGCTGGGGACTGCACGTAGTCTCGTTTTTCTTCCTTTGCGCCTTCAATGTTTAAACTTGGCTGCCTCTTTACACACACACACACACACACACACACGCACAAGCACAACTACTCCCACTTCCACAGCGATACAGACACACCCACATGTAGAGAATCTACATAAACATGACCCAGCAAAGGTGCGTTGTCGTATAACCTGAAGCCAATGCACTGCGCGGCAAAGAATGTTATGATTTTTTCCTATACCCTATACCATAAAAATGGGCATTTCAGTTTCTGTTAAGCAGTTGGAAATTACTATTATAAAATTTTATGACTAATACTCATTGGAGTTTTAGAAAATATCTTCCGACTTTTGTTGTTTAGTATTGAAGCTGTCTTTCATTAATCAATATCCAGCCTCAGGGTCATGTTTCATAAATAAGTGTCTTATGCTCATTTGCCGAATACTCTACATTTCTTTATTGCTTTTATTTGGTCTGGCTAAGTTGGGCTTCACCTTTGCCAGGACAATGCTTAGAGGCGTTTGGTAGGTAACCTCCTGCTGCTGCTGTTCTCGGCAGTAGCGTTGCAGCTTTTGTTTAAATTTCAATCAAAAACAAATTTTCAAAGCTGCTTATGAGCAGCATTATAGCAGCAGTGGCGGCAGAGGCGGCAGAAACGGGAGCAGAGGAAACTCTGGTAAGTTGCATGCCGCAGGGCGAAAAGGCGGTGCGAGCACACGCTCTAAACGCATAAAGCTGCCGAGCAGACTGCAACAAGTTAGCAATACAAGGGTGAAAGCAGAGTGAAAGGAGAGAGGGCAAAGAAAGAGTGGGAAAATGCACAACACTAAATTGCCGCTGGTGAGTTAACAGCAACAACTACACGAAGACAAACACAGCCACAGACACTCCCGTTTCAATTCACTTACCGCCAGCAAAGGCAAAAGGCTAGAGGCCAGGAACGGGGGCAGGGATCGGGACGGGAACACGGACAGCAATAGAGGCTGCCACGAGAGCAACAGAGTCACCGAGTCTTATGTTTAACTACAATTTGCCGCCGGGACATAGACACATTCACAGGCACAGCACACACACACACACACACACATACACAAGGACCCTAGGTAAGCTAAGAGCGAGCATGCAACATGGTGCAAAGTTTTCTACATAATTAGAAATATAAAACTGCGGGGTCTTATATGCGCAAGAGGGCTAGCCAAGTCAGCTCAGAGTTAGGAGCGGGTCTTTAATAATGATTTGTTTTTAAGGTTCATTTGCCTGGGCTCCGATACGAAGTTGCGCCCAGCTGAAGCTGAGGAATGAAGTGCAGTGTAAATGTCTTGACTTCTTGTGTTTGTTGAGCCCCTAAGCGTGCCGCTCAGGCAGTTGAGGCTCTAGGGGAGCTACTCACGGAAAGCGAAAGAGAGAGAGAGAGAGGGAGAGAGTGGGGGCGAGTAACTATGATTGCCAGAATCCAGTTACGTTTCTGTGGCCTCTTCGTTCTAGGCCATTAATGAAATGTTCGCCCGAACTTTTGTTGTTTATGCAAAAATTTTATATTTTTGACCCTAAATGTTGCACACATATACACACATACATGAGCACATACGCACACATCCACAAAACAGAGTTTGCTACACTCAGGTACATGGCTACAAAGTGCTCTCTATTTTTAATTAATTAAGAGTTTTGCCCCATGAGCTTGCAACTAAATGGACAAAACTCATGCTACAGCTACAGTGAAAATTGCCTAAGTGCAACACATCTCAAAATAACTTCAACAATACGCAGAATAAACGAATGGAAATTCAAGTGGATAAAAACTGAGCAAATTTAAACATAAATGTGAGACAAAGGGATAAATTATATGGCCCGATAAAATATACGTTATTTAAGCTTCAATTTATCCGTACACTGCCTTGAAAGAAACTTTGACCAGCCCACATTGGGCTATTTTACTGTAAATCAAATTGTGGATGGGTTTGTGTGTAACACGCCCATTAAAGTCGCATCCTCACGCACAACAAGCAGACCCTCAGACACATAATAACTGAAGCGCACGCAAAAATAAATTAGCTATAAAATCCGAGCAGTTAAAAGCCTACCTGAGGGCTCACTTTCGCAAAGCTCTCGCTCCTTCTACTTCCACAGCGCACGCCGCCCGCAGAAAACTTTTACTAATTGCGTAATAATCTCATTACATTTAAAAATACATTTACAACAGCATTTATACCTGCCCCAAGGCCAGAATATGTTTTGCAGAGAGAGAGAGAGAGAGAGAGATACGGAAAAGAAGAGAAATGCGATAAGAGTAAACAGCAGATCCAATTGAAAGAAAGGAGACAGCAGTCACTCAACAGAAACAAAACAGAGCAAAAACTCTGCCGCCCGGAAGCGTTGATAAATGATAGCCCCAAAAACTTAAAACTCCACCCAAATTTCCCACAACGGCGTGGAAATAAATCAAAACAATATAAGAACAAGAAGATGTCGAGACTTCAGACAATGACAAAAAGCCACTAAAAACTGTCAAAATTGCGTCAGCTTATGAATATGAAATGCTCCAAACGGCAAATTATGTAAAAGCATGACACAAGTTGTTCAAAACCGAAGCCTTGAACAAGAAGAACAAGACACCCCCAGCATCCTCGGCACCCCCATGAGGAAATCATCCAGAAAGCATCTCAAACATAAGCCCCACCGCACCACTGAAACCTGAAAGCGAAACGCATATCGTCAGATCCAGCCTTGGCTTTCATAATGAGTGAAATGTCACAAGTTGACGCAAGTAAATATTTAAATGTCAGATTTCTATATGACAAAACAGCAACCACTTGCACTGCCTTCGTCAGCCCCCCTTGTGGCTGTGCCATCATTCGAAAACCCCAGGCAAGACCAAAATATGTCTCATAATTTTGGGTGCTGTAGAAAATTCATTCAAAGACTGACGAAATTCCTGCTGACTGCCTGTCATTTCTCTTGATTTACCTCGCCATCTCGCAGTCTCTCTCTTTATCTCTCTTTCTCATACTATCTGTCTCTCTCAGTATCATGCGGGTGTTTAGTTCCAAGCATTTTATGAGCACTGGCTTGCTTCTGCTTCTGGATAGATGAGAAGATGCAACTTCTGCTCCGCCTCGACATATCTCCTAGCATCCTCTTCTCTTATTAGGAGTTTAGTATTTTCTCTGTTTGTCTCTAATGCTCACACTACGTCAGTCTCTGCGTTTCGGTTCTATGAATGCAAAATATGCTCGACCGCCGTTTGACATTTACAAATGACAAACATTTGACAAACAAAATGTCCTTTTGCCGGCCCCAGCAGGAGCAGGAGCAGAAGCAGGAGCAGGAGCATTGTCATAAGCGTTTAATGTGTGCGCTACAAGTGTGCTGGAGGCGTGGCATATCTGGCGTAGCACCCGCAGCAGCAACTTGCTGCAAGTTTGCGTGTTATTACCTCAAGCTCAAGTTGAACAACGAAGAACAATTAAAATACAAGCAAATCGAGGGAACGGCGCGTGGATGCGAATGAGATGGACACAACGAGAGCAGGGCGAATATAAATCCTTGGAAATGAAATGCATTTAATGAATGAGCAAGATTAACATCAAAAGGCTTGAGTATACAAATTGTTAAACAAACAACATAAAAAACTTCCTGAAAAAGTCTTATTCAAATATATTTCAATTGCGTTTTAATTGCCTTTTCATAATTATTATGAGTATCGGTTGTAAGAATGTTCAAGGAGTTGTAAGAAAGAGAGAAAGAGAAAACCTGACAGCAATGGTCGGAAAGAAAGACACAAATGATGAAGAATTTCAATGAATTCATTAAAAAATTTCATATAAAATTGAACATTTCGAAAAGCAAAGCTAAGTGAAAGATATACACAAAGTAATTCAGTTTTATAACAAAATACATTCGATATTTTATAAACCTATTTTCGATATTCGATATATCAACAACCACAAATCTGAACAAGTCCTGTATAAGTGTTCAGCTTAAGTTGAATTTACTGTAGTTAGTTCGCGCTGCTACCTCAGCAACAATTCTGACGGAACGTACTACACCTGCACACCGCATTGGGTCATTACTTTTAATAAAGTCTAGGCCTCTGCCACTACTACGCGCAGTACGCTTTTGTTCTATGTGTCCTGTGCGCGTCCTGTGTGTCCTGGGTGTGGCCAGCACGCACCTACGCCTGCCTAGCCAGCCCAGGGATGGGCCGTTCTCTCTGGCTATGTTTACAGACGGGCCCAAAAGTGGTTGCACTCTCAATAGACTGCCGTCGTTTATTTTTTGTTTTTGCTTTTTTCGTTGTTGCCTGGCCAGCAGGTCCGTGTAAATATTTGGCTTTAATAGAATTAAATGATGAAGAAGCGTTAACGGGACGGAGGGAAAAAGAAAATTACTTGCCACCCCTGCTAACAAGCGCCAGGGGTCGGGGTCTACACTTAAATTAATAAAGTAAATAATAAGCATTTCGTGCGTAGCAGGACACAGCTCGACCAGCTGGACAGGTGGACAGTGGACAGGTGGCTACGGCCGCGTTGAAAGTGAATTTAACGTCATTTATGTGGCTTAAAAAACTGCGACGAAAAAATGGTTGTCCATTCTTGCCGGGCATCCAGTCAGTTTTCGTCTTTTATTTCCCGGAGCAGTTTTCTGGGTTGATTAATTTATGGTCCTGGACCAAGGAGCACTAACGGGGGGGGACAACACTGTTCTGCGGCTCCTTGGCTCCAGCACATTGCAGTAGTTAGCGCCTAATCCAGCTCAATGTGGCTCAGCTGCCGAGGCAACCGACAGGGCCGGGCCGCGACTGCTTGGACTAAGCGCATTTGCGGCCGGGCCGGGCTTAAAGGCTCTCCGACTGTGGTGCTGGAAAATGACTTTGAAACTGAAAATGAAAATAATTATGCGGCTGCTCTCAAGTGGCTGGCACTCTATTCTAATGCCTCGATTACACTTCGAATATCCGTTTATCGGGAACTGAACTTAAAGCTGACTTACGCAATGTCTGGTCAAATAATTGAGAACGCCTTTGGCAGGACTTGAACTTACCTAAAACGAGAAGATGAGGGAAATACCAAATTAAATTTAAATTAATTTCAGCAACAATAACATGAATTTGCAAATCGAGACAAGTGACAGGATAAGCCTGAGGAGATAGATAGGCGACATTGTTGTCCTGTCAAAATCTTTGAAATAAATTGCCTTTTCTGTTGCCTAATTTTAAAGTCCCTACTTAAAAATCCATTAAAAATTTGCATGAATCCATAAAAAGGGACAGCAAATGAGTAAAAAATAACGAAAGAGTTGCGTAACGCACCCGAGATACTCTACAAATGTAATGTGAGCTGGGAGTAAGGGACAAAAATAATAAATGAAATTTAATATGATGGATGAAAGTTGACAATAGAATTATTTATATATATTATAAATAATTTCAGACTTTTTAGTTAAAGAGTCTATTTTCTAATTTAACTGGCTTTCTTTTCAAGTCATTTCAATTGAAGACTTTTTCATAAACTGCTCTTAATACACTCGTCTCAGACCGAGTGAAAGTGTAGACATAAATTCGGTATTTTATTTCGTTGTTCCATCTTGGGCAACTCATGAGATTGATAAGAAGCTGTCGTTAATTTGCATCAAATCAATTTCTCTTCGACAGATGCCCGCCCTGCCCTAGTCTGTTTTGTTGCCTTGGCCTAGGCGTAGGCGACATAAAAATGCAAATTTTGTTGCTGTTGGTTTCAAAAGGGACATTCATGGGGGCATGAGACGCATGAAGAGCGGCAATGGCGGGAGCAAGGCGACCAGCAAAAGGAGCTCGAATGCCTCAGCTTGACATGAAGAGAAGAGATGTTCGCATATGTGACATGGCAACAAAAATTGCTAAAATATTATTACAAGTAATAGGCAAAAGGAGCAACAACATTTTGTGCGGCACACGGGGAGGGGGGGACAGAACGACAGAAAAGGGTGTTGAAATTGATGCCAGTGGCAGACAGGCAGGCCAGGCTGGCTGGCTGGATGGCTGGATGGCTGGAGGCATCAGCATGCTGATGATGATGGGGATGATGCCCGCCTATATCAATAGGCATATCAATACAGCCGACTCACACACATACACGGACATACACATTCCACACACACTTCGCACCCCCAGTTGGCCCTAGCCTGCGGTTAGACGTGCTCAAAATACATTAAAAGTTAGACAGCAAACGGGAACTGCGACCGAAGGGCAGAGCGGGACGGGGCAGGGGCGAGCCGAGGGGTGCGCACTTCGGGGCATTTTCTATACAAACAAATTGCTGCGTACGCGACTTGAAAGCCAAAAATTGATTGATGTTACTTTGCGTAGTCGTGGCGTAGTCTGCTTTTAGGCCAAGTTAAGGCAGAGAGCTGGCTGAGGGGCGACAGAGAGTGGTAGAAAGTTGGCTCTAATGCGATTTTGAGTGCTCATTGTTGACCATTACACGAACGGAGGAGAAAAGCCAAGTTTCGTATGCGGCTTTTGACTGTTTTCGCTGTGCTATGGCCCAACGCCTTGAGAAATGCGCATTTAATTGAGTGTGCAGAGCCTAATGGCTGGGGCGGGCAGCTGCAGCGGTGGGGACAGGAACTGGCGTTTGCGGGGATAATTGAATAACTGTCAGCACTTTAATTAGAGCGTAAAAAATTGCAATTGCAATGACATAATTGCAATTGCGCAGCAGCAAAAGCAGCTGCAAGTGGCAGCATTTGTTGGCAACGCATTTATCTCGACCTTATTTAAGACAGGCCAAGAGAATTAGAAAGCGCCCCAGAGGGAGGGAGGCAGGCGACGCCAGACGTATATTTATGATATTTATTGAAATCCGCATCTGCTGCTGCATCTGCATCTGCTTGTTATGTGCTGCTATGTTGGCCACAATTTCTATCCAATTAAAGCACAGCGAATTGTCTAACCTTTTGTGTAATGATTTCATTTACACAGACGGAGAGGGACCGAGTGAGAGATACACAGATAGAGTGAGAAAGAGACACACAGAGAGAGTGAGAAAGAGACAGCAACTGACAGCTGAAAACAAGAATTAAATCCAATTTGAATCAAAAACAAAAAACAAAAAAAAGTTGCAAACAAACTTTCGCATTTAAATTCAATTTACGGAAATTTAGCAACAACTGTTTGCAAAATTTACGACTACATTTCTTTTGTTTTAGTGACGCGATTTCGGAAATAGTTAATGACAGCTCTTTAATTAGTGAGCCATACTTTAGATACATTTGTAATTTGTATCCAATTATCTCTTTTGCTAAATAGAAATGGAATTACTGTTAAAATGTTACCGTTGCGAATTGATTGAATACATTTATAGTAGCAGTACAGAAGCGGCAGATGTAGTAGTTGCTAGTTTTTGTTGTAGTTGTAGTATTTGAAATAAATAGTAGAGTAGGAATAGTAGTAGTAGTTAGTAGTCAATAATTATAGTAGGCCTGCTGGCTGATCTTAATGCAGTAGTAGAGAGAATTGTATACGATTCAGTTTTAGAAATAATTGTATCGATTATCAATATTTCATTTATTATAAATATATAAAGAGAAGTCTTAGACTATTGTGTTAAATCAAAGGTTGAGGAAAGAGAGAAATGCAATATGGACAAGAGAATAAGAATGTAGGACTAAGTAAAGTCATTCATGAATTCCTTCAAAAACTAAAGTAAAATAAGAGAGGGGGAGAGAGAGAGAGAGAGAGCGAGAGAGAGAGGGAGAGGGAGAGGGATAGAGAGAGAGAGAGAGAAAGCGCGAGAGTGAGAGAGAGTGAGAGAGAGAGAGAGTGAGAGAGAGAGAGAGAGAGAGAAAGCGCGAGAGTGAGAGAGAGAGAGAGAGAGAGAGAAAGCGCGAGAGTGAGAGAAAGATCAAGTTAGACTTGA